TGTGTGCCGGTAAGTCAAAATAACCTTCGCGAGATCGATATTATGGCGATCACGTCGCGTGGACAATCATATACCAATTATGTACCTTTCTGTGCCGACAGTGTGGATTTTTTCAAAAGTGACCAAGTGTGTATATAACCAGTTTGCGAAAGCGAGATCGAATATTTTTATTTACAGGTTAATGAAATTATAAATTTAAAATTTTCCATGATGGCGAAAGCGGTATTGTGAGAATTTCGAAATTAGAATTGGTATTAGGAGTTGGTCGGTTCTTTTGGCATTCCTCGATAATTCATCGATGAATAATTGATGGGAAAAATACAAAAAAAAACACCGACTAAATCAACATTCGCCAGTAGTGAGACATGGACTCGGAAAGTCAATAAACATGTCTGTATCTAGTAGCGGTTGACCTTTCACGCTGGCGCCTCCAAAGGCCTTTCTCACTATACCATCACTTTTCATATCGCATTTTTCCCTAGACCTTTATACAAATTTACACCAACAGCGTCATCACTTAATCAATCAGTTGTACTATAAATACTAAACCGGATATAAAACCGCAACTATACTAAATCAGGCTAATTCCCAAATTAGCCGCGAATGTTTCAATTAAAATTCCTCGCCCATATCGTTTTCCGTTCGCCAATTTGCAATTAATAATTTGCCGAATTTAGAGCGTGCAAATAAAAACTTGGCGAAAACTTCTGTCATTAATCGTGGATAGTTACGGTGATCTATGCGAGCGTCCTCGTATTTTTCATTTCCGAAGGACTGTGGAGATTTATCTTTTTTCCGACGAAAATGACCAGTCATATGTAAAAATTCTTAATTAATAATACATGGCGCATTCAAGAATCGCTCACCGTTAAACTGGGTCATTATGAAAATTTTATAAAAATAGTCCCGCGATTATTTTTCGGCAAATTAGATCCACTTTTTTGACCACTTGAATAATGAGAGAATTTGCATAACTATAAATAATGCGGCGTCTTGCGAGAGACGGTGACGAGCCCCATGCAGCGGATTCTCAATGAGTTATTTGGAATATCGATGAACCCGATCGATTGCACTGATAAAAATTGTACGCGATTGGAGTCGTCATTACCTTACAATAACGCCCTACGACTACTTAAAAACCGGCCATCATTCATGAGGTATATATCGCTTTACAAGTTGAAATTCGATTGTAACCGTACTGGTAAGACGCGGATAAGACGCTGTGAGAACTATGACGTTGCGAGTGACGTCATTAAAACGATCACGTGACGGCATATTTAGCCGTACGGACAGCACTTATATAAATGCTAGTGACGGCGAAATCTGCGTGATATCCTTTAACTATAGGAATATTGCAACGTGCGGTACCGCGTTTTCCTAAATACCCATTCATCTCGCACCTCTTGGTACGGTGATATACACCTATTCTCGGGCGGTCTAAAATCCATAAACGACAAAAAGTGCAATTAGTGAGTCGTTTTACGCCTTACCTTCACAACAATTTAAACCATGAAAACCGTTTTTTTGTCGCAGATAGCTCAGACTGCGTTTTCCTGGTACTGTGTGTTCAGCGGTTGTTTTCCTAACTTTCGACTTCTGTACTGTTCATCTCACCTTACTTATTGTTATATTCAATTTTTCCGGAATGCTACATGACCTGATTCTGAACGCTCTATTCGTCGTACCATACAGTGAATAGAACCTTTCCTATACTTCGTATTGTGTCTTTTGCACTTACGGTTACTTGACTAGCTCACGATTATTCCCGCGACCAGATTCAAGGATGCTATAGCTCTCATGCTACTATATAAAACAAAAGATGTACCTAGGTACATATGTTTCATGATGTGGTTTTGTTTTATAAAGGAATACGATAGCTTTGGAATCCTGAAATCTGATAGCAGTAAGTCTCGAGCCAGGCATTTGTGACCAAACTGCAAAGGACTCAATACGCAGTATAAGAAAAGAGCGGAAACCATGCGAAACAAACATAAAAACAAAAACATTTTCAAAGGGTTATTTATTGGATACTTTACATTATATGTATGTTAATATTTAATATCATCTATATATCTAGATATACTATATGATTATGTATAACTCAAAAGTAGTAAACATTTATTATTGTAGCATTACCTTTTTGACATTTTGAACTATTGAGAGAAATACGTTTATTACTAAATTGTTAATGAACTTCGGAACTACAGAAAGGTTTATATTATATAATAATAAGATAAATAGATTAGAATTAGTAAATTAATATATTTTCCAAATTGGCTTCTGGACATTCACCTTTGTGCAATTTTAATTAAATTACAAAATAAAAATCTATGATAATGGTTAATTTGCTTTTTGTTGAAGCCGATAAACAATAGTAGATAAACTAGTTAAAAATAGAAAGGTAAAATGTTTGCATTGTCACCGCTTTATAATATATAAAAAAAACTGACTTGTGTGAAATTGTGACTGATATGATAAAACTGTACGTGTATATTGTTAAGGAACCCCCAATAAACAGGTGATAATACTTAGGATTATGGTATTATTAGTTAAAAATTAGGAGAAACATTTACAGACGGTAACGCTAATCGATTCCCCATCTTAGGGTTATAAAAAGTTTGCAGTCCCTAGAAACAGTAATTGTGTTTGGGTAAGGAGCAAGCAAATCTTCGAGGGGCAAATACGTATATTTTTCAGTTCGACTCACTTCAAATGCGTAGTAATGGTCGTCAAAGGTAATTGTCTCATAAAGAAAGCATGAGAAATATACTTTAGAGTTTTCAGTTAGCAGAATTTTGTCAATGATTGCAAAGACTGGTTGAAGGGCCTCCTCAGATATGTCAACAGTAATGATTCCACAGGGTTTCCATAAAACACCACACATTTTTACCCAGGAAACCGAATGCGTAAAGTTCACTTCTGGATTTGCTCTATAACTATGCTCATTTTCCAGGCGGACTTTCTTACCAAACTGCAACTTTGCAGGCAAGGATTTCTTTAGAAACAACTCATTGAGAATAAGTTGATTTTTCATTGCCAGAGTTTTGCAAACATTTCTCCTGTTACATGAAGCCCTTGCTGCCATTTTGGAAACCCTGTGCTTTGCTTCGAATCTCATTGTCCAGACATGACGCAATGGTCCAAATTTTAGGAGCATGTCAGGATAATGAGTTAGAAAATGGAATTTGGGCTTCAGTGTTTCACCAGAAACCTGGCGATACAATGCGTTGAAATCTCGAATCAAATATTTTAACTGTTCCACCGTATCACTATATACCCTGTGATTAAGCAGTCTCTCCAATATTTTTCTCAAAGCAAGATATAACTCCCAAGTTTCATCACCGACAGGAACATAATAACCGGCAATAAGGCCAAAGTACCTCATCAAGGTTAACATTTCAATTGCCGAGGTTTTAATCCTCACGGAGTTAGCAGCTTCCAAAATTATACAAGAAGTAGGCTTTGACCCTGAATCCGGACCGTAATCGAAAGAAACTAATTTGCTTATAAGGGTGTTATAATGAGGCATAGATCTCGAAATTAAATTATTTATAACATAAGTCATAACATATCGAGCAGTTCCTTCAAGAATATCGTGCATAACATCAACCGCAGTATGTTCAAAGGGATCGAAACCATTTAGCTCAAGCCAACAACATGATTCCTTTATGCCAGTTTTGGATACATCCTTCATCTCAAGCTGCTGAAGGTATGAATTCATGTCCCTCATCAGTTCATTGTTTTGGATAGTCATACTTTGCATGCATTTTTTTGGAGCATTGCAAATCCTACAATAGTGATTAGCGACGAAGCTTTCAGTGAAACCAAGTATAGAGTTAAGTCCTAAATTATCGCCAGTTAAGCAGACTACCTTAAACTTTATGACCCCCGTGAAAAATTCTGTGGTAATGGTAATACCTGTAGTGTGCAAATAATTAAGTTCATCAATGGCTGGTTGGAACACTTTTTTGTTTTTAAATTGGGTCTTGTCGGAAGAATGACATAGAGATAACATAAAAGTGTGGTTTAGCTGAGAAACGATATGTGGAGGAAGTGCAGGTATAGAAACATATAGACCCCCTAATTTATGAATGCCCGCATGGCTCCCTAGTACATTGGATATTTCAAAATCGTCGTAGAAAATAACGAGCGGCAGAACAACAGTCAGTGGATCATTACTTAAAAAAGGTGATTTATATAGGTTCAGCCAAGCAGAGCCATGCATAACATTTTCCAGGCATTGGTTCGGCTCTTGGGTGTCGTATCTTCTTTCCTCGTTCTTCTCTCCACCCCATGTTGCCCCTCCACCTAACTCTTTTAGGTATTCGACAGTCTCTTTCAAAACAGTACCAATAGAAAAAAACTTAAGCAATACATTTCTCAAGGGAATCAACTCCATTGTGCATGTCCGAGGAGTTATAATTAACCTATTGTGTTTCATTAGTGTTTCTCTACGATAGCCCAGTACTACTTCCATTGGTGAAATGTAAGTTCCTAAAGATGCGAAGAGCTGAAACCTTTTATATTCTGACCGTAGGGGTTCCAAGCAGTCATCAAGTAAAATTAAAGTCTCCTTCAAAGCTGACTGGACTTCATCAAAAGTGCTTCCTTCTTTCACCAAAGAAAGGAATTTGACTTGAAGATTTTCAGAAAGTTGTTGGTGGAATGATTGCATACCGTTCACAACAACCTGCACAGTGGAACGAGGAATGGCAGGGTTACTATACAATGACGCAAGGAACTGAGAAGTAATTGCAAGGAGTTGCTCCGACAGATCCACATTTCTCATGGAATGTTCATAAGCTACAATATTAAATCTGAGGGGCTCTAGAACTCCGTCATTGACATTATCGTAATTAACATTATCACCAGCAGAAGAAGGTCCTGGCTGTGGAGTTGATCTATGATTTGAATTTATTTCTACATTTATATCTGCAGTAACATTCTCATGCTTTGATTTCAAGTGACGACGGAAGGCATCCAAAGATGTGAACTGCCTGAAGCAGCCAGATTCACCACATTTGTATGCCAGCCATTTACGAAAATGAGTGAAACAATTTTTCCTTATGTGAAGGAGAAGGTCCTTCACCAAGGGGAATCGTTTCTTGCAAGAATGACAAGTTAACATCTTTCCTTCAAGCCGAGATCAACAAATAAAGTTTTCACTGCTGCAGTTGGTCTATCGTATGAAGTCGATATGCGATAAAAGCCTTTTTGAATAAAAAGCCAAACGTCATAAGCTAAAGGGGGATATTCTGCAGCAGTGGCATGTATAATTTTAAATGTATTATCAACCGCTGAAATTAGGGAATCAAATTTGTACCGTACCCGTTCCACTATTACAAGGCACTCAACTAGTGATGAGAGTGACTCGCCTACTACGACAACCAGTGGTTGAAAAGTTAAATTCCAGGACTCTAGTTGACGTCGCTTATCTTCAAGCGTAGCGTCGAGGTCTGCGATGTTCGAGACGTGAAGAATGAAATTGGCCCTCACTTCGGCCCTGCTCACTTTTATCCCCTTCTTCTTGGTTGTTGTCCCCGTATTAAAGATGTACGGCAGGAGGAGAAGGCTGGTGTTTAGTTTACTCTCGATATTCACCTCTGAAACAATAGAAAATAAATAATAGTAATAGCAATATTTATTTTATATTTAAATTGAACTAATATTGCTAAACGTACCGTCAACACTTGATAGGCAGGTCTGAATGTTCTCTTTAAGGAATTCGTCCTTCGTAGTGGTACATTTCGTGGCGGCCTTCTGAAGAATCTTTGTGCTTACACTCTCCAGTGATTCACGGAGCAAGGCTTCGTCTTTGTCGGGAAAAATCCGTTGATAATCTAACGCTAAGAGTCGATATCCGCTGGGTCCCTTAAGTATGGGAAACTCTTCAATATAATCATGAAGATTCCCAGGATTATGATATAGTTTCGCCAGCCGGGCCCTAGTTGTGCAACCCCAATGGCGTTCCACTTCCTCCCAAGGTGTTGCGCCTTCCACTGCGGTTTGGCAGAAAAGTATTGACTCTTCTACCCTTTCACTCTCGCCTAAAACAATCAGAAAAATATTCACATTATACGATTCGTTTGATGTGTAGGTATCTAGTGGGTATGGCACAGTGATGTGACGTTTTTGAACAGACTGCCAATACACTTATTTTCGACTTCATTTAAAAAATTTTTAATTTTATTTATTACTGGTATGAGGTACAATTTGACATTTGAGTATACACAAAAATAGTCAGCTGTTAAAAAAGCTATCAAGTGACGTCTCTGAATCTTTTGTTGAAACTATATAACGAGAAATTCACAGAGTTTCACCTGCCATGCTTCACTATGGACGATTTCACTACCTTCCATAAAAATCGATTATTTTGACATACTCACATAGAAGTGTACCAGTAATGAATAAATCTAATAAATTTTGAAGTAAAGTCGAAAATAAATATATAAATAAATAAATATCTCAAAAACATCTCTCTCACTCTGCCGAACCCTGTATATATGTATCAAGATTCTTACCCGCACCAAGGGTGGATAAATCAATGGGAGCTTCCTTTCTATTCTCTGTTCCCGAGTTCTCTGAGGTTGTGGAGCTAGAGGTGCCTTTCCGCTTCCGAAAGGGTTCTACTGCCTGCTTGCTAATAAGGTTACGTCTCTGTCTCAAGTAATAATTATACAGACTGCCGGATGGGTTTCTCTTGGGCTTTCCTTGTTGGGCAGAAATGTATGCTGTATAGTACAGCACTGGTGATTCACAGTTAAAAAGCTGTGCAATGCCTCTGGCGAGGGTTTGGAACCGTGCGAATGTAATATGAACTTGGGGATTGCGCTCAAATTCGTGATTAATTAATAATTTTACAATCTCCTTTCTTTGTCGTTGATGGAGAAGGCCAGTTTTGGCAGCCTCGCTGCTTAATATAATACGGCCCTGCAGACTGCTTAGCAGAACATTCCTTACCTGAATGAAGAAATAAAATAAGTGTATTGCAGGTAACGAGGCCATACAGCAAAAAGACAACAATTAATTAAATCAGCGTTACAACAAAATTGAAATAAAATAGTAAAACCATAATCCCATAATCTGCTTCTGACTTATCTAAGTATACTTGACTAATTGCAATACATACGAAATAAAACTTACATGTGCCGCATCATCTTGTTCCAAGATAGGTGTTGGGGGTGTGGGATGTGTTGGTGGAATCTCGTGTTGAGGCGACAGCAAATTCTGTTCCTCAAGTGAACCTGCTGCAGCTTGTTGGAGTGGAGATTCCACAAAGTTATCTCGAATAAAGCTCGAAATATTTGTGAGGAAGGATTGGGGGCTGCCTGGATCCGTACCTGATCCCTCAATACTAATCTTCTCAGTGGAGAGCTACAAACAAAACGACATGCATTAACTTATTCTAATCTACAGATCATGCACCTTGATCAAAAATTACACATTCGTAGGAAATTAGTTTGTGTGATAGCGTCGAGTGAGCATTTCTCACACAACGGTGAAAGACATGATACATGTATTGAAATTATTTTAATTAAATGCAGTTTTCCAATAATAGTATTAATTTTCTAAGGAGCCATCTTACACCCCCTGGTAAACTTACCTCTATGGAAGTTCCCAGAGATTTAAATTTACCAGTAGGTGGGTAGGTACCACGGTGAGTTACCACGGTGATATTCCGCGTGGTAGGTACTTATATACTCGTAAGCACACGACTTACTAGAAAATATGCACAAAATAAATATCTGTCAGATATCAAGTTATGCGATAGTTTCAGTAATATCATTTATCTGCACATATCATCTAGTACCCATAATATAAGTTGATATATTTGTAAAATATAAAATTGGCAATCTTTAGCTCCCTAGGATCGACTGATTAAAAAAAATTGGCTTACTAACCCTGTTTATGTTTGAACACTCATTGTCGGCTTTCCACAATGTTAATTGAGCTAACAGTTTAACTCTGTCCCCTAGTACTGGCACTAGATTTGCGACATCACCTTCTGTCAGTAAGGTCAGTGCTGTGGTATCAATTCGGTTTTCTTAAAAAGCAAATGAGAATAAATCGTTAAATGTGTATTTTTTTAGCTTTAACCAAACTAATTCGGACGATACAGGGTGTTTGGCGCCACCGAAGTATTAAACGTTTTAAGACTATAATAAGGCAATCATCCTAAAAAAATGCACACGTCTGTAAGAGATAACGATCTATTTAACTACAATGTCTTGTAGAACATGCCACTTCCTGTTTACCGGAAGTCGGTCCCAGTTTTGTTATGTTGAATTGAATGCTATTTGAATTTTGATTCTTCAGAAGATTCCTCGTGCAATGGTATTACATGTCCCTATGTCTATTTTATGTTTTTTAGTTATTCCCTTTTTCTATAAAAATTGACCTGAACTCACTAGTATGGAAATACTCGTATTTCCGTTATGCTACCAACTCAAACGAAAACTATTTCAGGAATTAAAGTGGCAGAGTGGAACTATCATTGTTTTTTTCATACTAGTAAGTTCGTCAATTTTTAAAGAAAACATAGAATATCTCAACAGTTGAAAATAAGCATAGGGATATGTAATACCATTAGATGAAGAATATACTCTTATAGAATGAAAAAGTCAAATAAAAAATATAGCCTTCCATTTAGAACAACAAAGTTGACATCGACTTCCTGTATAACCGTCTAATAGGTCAATTGCGGAAAATACCCTGTATACAATCATTGTTCTTACACTTGTTTTAACATTAATTAATAATAACAATAAGATAGACTTTATTAGACTATTATTGTCATATTATGTAGGCCCAAAATGTTAAAGAAATGAAATAATGCACATGAACTGCACAAAATAAATTAAAGAAACAAAAATACCAGCTTTATATTTAGTATACCTTTATATTTAAAATAATAAGAAGGCATACAAATACAATGTGTCCCGTCGATGCACTAAAGAAAGTCTTTATTTTAACTAAGTAATTATAATTTCCAAAAATTATTTACGTAACTGCAGTACCCTCAATTAACCCATTTAATACCGTTGGTGCATTTTCGAACCACGCCCTTTAATTTGTTTATATTAACAATTTTAGCTCTTCTGTTTCTGTTATATCAGTATGTATTATAGTATTCAACAAAATATTTCTAACAAATTTTATTGCTCTTTTGTGATTAGTAGTAATTTACAACATAAAACGTATCATTTTGTCAGTAAAAAAAAATGTAGCCAAACATTTGTTTTCCAATTTTAATTTTAATTGTTATCAAGATCTTTATATGTTACGAGCAATGTGGTTGACCGGTCAATGTTAATAATTAAATATTTTCACATACTTTCATAAGTGGCAATAGTTCCTCCCCCTTAAGCTTCCGGGGCCGTTAAAAAAATTTGCCTTCTCTTAATAATTGACCGGACTAACCCGATTGCCAGTAACATAAATAGGGGATGAAGTGAGTGTCGAGGAAATGTCAGAAGACCATTTATAACCACAACCAAAAACAAAAATTCAATTTTTTTAATTTCATTAGCTTGAGATTAATAGGGTTAATATCTGCAGTACCTAGGTTAAATATCTTTACTACGGGATACATTGTACTATTTGGTAGTCTAGAAAAAGGAATTGCATCATTCAAGTTTTACGTAGGTTAACCATAGGCGCCCACAGGAGGAAGAACATCATTGGATTAATGCTATTATAGGAGACCAAAGCAATCATTGCAGATTTAAAAATAAACTGAATCTTGCAGGCGCCCATGGGTACTGGTGCCATGCAAATATTTATTAACTAATTACAATTCAAATGAAACTTACCTGCAAACACATCAATATATTGGAAGAACCCCCAATTTGTAAGGAGGTTTGTCACAAGTTGATCCATACACACAGTTGTTTTTTACCCTCTTTTAACACTCACTTGACCGACTGAATACAGAGTAAAGACGACTATGCTATGATATTGGCGCAATTTTGAAACGCGAAGGTACAGTGGAGCGTTTTTGAACGCACAAACGCGAAAAATGACACTTCATCAGATGAAAAGATGTATTATAATCGTATGACCTTTCAATATACGATTGTAACACGGTTATTTTCCTTCTGCTGAAAACTAAAAATGTTTAAATGATCTTATATTTGTTGGCGTACTGAAGGCGAAATTGGACGTAAGATACTTTCGCATCTCTATTCCGCAGTACCATAATGGTGAAATACCTTTAATCGACTGCAGGAAACAACACTGTAAGACACACTCAGATAACCAAGAAAGCGAATTTCGCATTACCAGAAATGATCCACCTGAGTCATGGTTGTACTATCTTAGGAATAATACAAATTACGCTTTACGAGAAACAGAGATAATACAGTGGTTGTTACTGACGGCGAAATTTGATGTAACAGTAATAGTAATTTATGATTTATCAGTATAACAATTTATACATTATTTTCGGTCTTGAATCAAATTACGAGAATGATGAATGCACTTTGACACTTTCGTGCACTGAAGAAAAAACCATAGTACAATGCAGTGCAACCCACACAAAATGCGAATAACGCGTTACTATGGGTGAAGTACCCACTATTAAACAATGCTTGCATTGAGCAATTACTACCTTACATATACTACAAATTTAGTCTTAAGGAAGACGACGGGGGTGACGTCACAAATGTGCAAAGCTAATAACGCGGTATATCAGATGAAGTTGGACCACTTGCGTCGAAAATGGTTACGTCTAACCCTGTGTTGTTTATAGACGTAATTTTTGGATAAAAAATGTCTTTCTTTTATACGTAATATGTATTTCATATCAATTTTCGCATTATGAACGTGAATTTGTTCGAAGGTACTGCGAATATCGATACTGACGACGAATTTTACCTTTCGCCAAAAAAGCATTTTTATCAGTGTAATAGATCGTCCTTTCATCTAGAAACTTGCACGTACCTTGCATGGAACTTTAAAATAATTTAAAAATTACCATTTAATTTAATATCCTCAAATTAAACGTCTGTCCAGTAATTAAAAGCTGACGGATTTCGCCAAGATTTAATTTACCTCTTGAATATGAATTTAAATTACCTTACAGCTTTAACGGAAAGCTGCTTATTTGCATCGCGGAAATAAAAAAAAATGTGCAAAGGTTGGAGTTTACTAAACCCATTTGTGGAAGGAATTAAAGTTGCGTTTAAATTGGTTTTGGGAAATCCCACAAGGAAACGCACACTTTATCTTCTACGGTTGTTGGAGTGTGTTTCTTTTCGGCGTCGTTTTTCGTTATGTGTAACCAAATAGCGTCTTTGGTGTAACATAAGGCGCAAAAATAAACCGTTACTTAGAATTAATGAACAGACTGGTAATTATGTGTCACAATCGTCGTATAATTCTGGTTACAAAAAAGTTTCAGATAAGAGAAAGAATTTTTACAACAGCAGCACGATGTATTGGCTCTCCTGCCACTTCGGTGCCTACCGGTTGATTGACAAACAGACCCACAGGAGAGAATTGGATGATGCAGTGAATGGTATATAGTAAATTAACAATACCTAGATGATATATGGAACTAAATGCAAATGAAACCAAAATCCTTTGTTTGGATTGGATTCTTATCAATAAATACAAAATCTGTTTTATGTAAGCCATCTTCACAGGTCAATTCCTTTAGGAATATTAAAATACAAAATTAATATGCAAATCCCTAAACATAATCGTCCACTACTCTAAAACGTGTATTTCAGTCAAAATAGTTCGGGGTAATTTTTGACCCCAATGTAATACGACCTCCGTTACTAACGTGCGGGTGGTAAAAATAAGTTGCACAAAATTTTGCTCAGTGAAAGTTTCTTCTTGGTGTGAATAAAGAACATTCAAAACTACGTAATAGACTAATACAACAAACTGTCGAGATAATGGAAATTTGGCTTCCCTGAAATCTATACACATAGAAGTTTAACGTCCAAAAGGACTCTTCCAAAGGGCAACGATCCCTTGTAGTAAAGGTAATCGTCGTTAACAATAAAATCTACAAGTTCCATTGCTAAATTTCAGGAATACTGTCTCTATAAGGAAGGCCGGTCCGGTCCAAGCGTGGTTTTACTGAACATCGTCATCTGCAGAAAGAAATTTTTAATACCTTTATTTTATTTATCTAAAATAAAAGGTTGTTTATCTTCAAGAGAAATTGTCGTAAATAATATTTGATTGAAACTAACGATTCTCAGGAAAATTGGATTAGTTTCCTTACAGATACCAATCCATGGACAATTTGAAGTCGTTTGTATTACATGGGTTATTGACACCGGATTTTCTAAAAAAATTAGTTTTTTTTAAGTTAATGAGTTCATTACGATTAACTAAGGTGAATTGTGCATCGAGAATCGAGAGGACTGTGCGAAATTATGTTATTACGTCTCTGTGTGGCTCCGTCAGGCTTCCACCGACTAAAAGTTGATATGTTTGGAGAAAAAATGTCCAGGATTGGCTAGGTAACAAAACACGTGGACACTTATTTTGGGGCGATTGCGGGGTTTGAGAAACACTGAGTGTTTTGGAGTTCATAAAAAAATTAAGTATACATTGGTGTTATTTACTTCAAATCAGGAGACTTATCAAACGACCCTTGTCATAATCGATCAAGAAAACAAGCAAGTGTGTATTCTCAAACTGTTACAAAGTGAATACAAACAAATAAATCTGTAATCTTGCAGCTGGAGTGCTTATTAATTCTTCACAATAACAACGGAAACATGTTTAACACTTCTCCGCTGAAATGAGTGTACAACTTTTAAATTTAAACAATCGCCTTAAAATGCTATGCATGGCTGTACAGATACAAAAGCCGTTCCATATTAGAAGTTATCTTCTTTTCACATTTTGCTGAAAATGAAATAAATTTAAAGATTGAAAATATCTGATTATTACACAGCATTGCATAAAGACACCAAAATTGTTTGAAACAGACCAGTTTTTAAATAAAATTATAGTCTCCTTTCTGTGACAGTATTAATACCAGGCGTCTTTTACCCTATGAGGGTATTATTGAAATTTTACAGAAGTATTTTATAAAATTCAGCTTGAGTACTGTTTCTGAATATGAGTGAAGTTTACTAACAACACAGAATAATGATCGATATACTCATTTATTTTAAAGAGAAAAAGAAAGTGCCAACAACACAGTCATTCATTAAACTTTTTGCACAAGAATTACTTTAGAAAATGCTAAACCTCCTTTTGCACATCATTAGTGGAGAAGATAAACGACCTTATTTATTTTTTTTATCGTCACACAAGTTTTTCTTCGGGCAAATACACTTATTTTCAACTTTTATCGGGTTTGAGGTTTAGGACGCCTCTATTTGGAGAATTTCCGATATGTGCGAGTTCTTAACCGGTCATCATCCTAAAAGCTTATTCCATTAAATTCTGTCGGAAGCCCAACTAAATTAAATTTTCGGTCAAACGACATTTCAACCCTCCATATGTAGTGCCCACCTGAAGGAGGCGAAGCTGAGGGTATTTGAAGAACCGCGTTGTAACTCTGTTAATGCGAATTTATATGATGAAGGTAGCTCTCTGATAAAATCAATTCTTTTAGATTTATACAAAAAAAAGCTCTTTTAAAATTCCGATAGTATTCGGTTATTGAATCGTGAAATGTGTGCTTGTATGTCAGAAAAGCGAACGGAAATATTGACGTTTTAAAGTCTTCGTAAGTGTGTAACAAAACTTGATAAAAAGGATGAGATACAAGGAACGTGAGCAAGGTGATATAAAATGCAATTTATCATCAAATGTTATTGTGTCATGTAAACATTAGTCTAATTACATTTCTTGATGCTGCGTGTAATGAATTTTGGGTTGTTCATGTTCGTTCTTCTAAACTTTTGCAACTTACGTACTTTATACTGGCTCCACTAAGCATTAACCCCCACCATTTCAGATTTTCGGCAAAATAAAGATTGCGCTATTCTATCTATAAGCGCCACTGTGCGTTCTTCTACCAGCACTAAGGATTTTGCTATAAAGCTCTTGATTTTCACTGGCCGGAGTGACGTCAACAATTTTCAATACGGGGACACGATAATTACATATATAATTTTTCTGGATGGGTAATCCGTCATTCCTTCGGATAATTACAGTTTTTCAGTTTTAATTTCTTCCAATTTTTCTATATCTCCTAAATCAAATTCCTTTTGTTCTTCAATTCAAAGTCTTTCGTTTCTTTGTATGTATTCAGGTTCTTTCTATTCTCCAATTTGTATTTCCCTTTTTCTTTTCCATAGATTCGTTAGTTACGTCAAAACCTTTAGTTCTTTTATAATTCTTCGAATTCTTCCGGTTTTTTAGATTATTCGGATTTTGATTCATAAAATTGTTCGGGTTTTTAAGGTTTTTAGAACTTTTCTTTTTTTAAAATCCCCATTTTTAGAGCATTTGCACAAAAATAAAAAAAAACGCGGTATTGTGGCCACTTTGTCCGTCCGTCCGGCTGTCCGTTCGTCCGTCCGTCCGCTCGCTTTGCGACGGTACTAGTTCTTTATCTTAAAAGCAATTGTTCTACTTTTTTCGCTATTTGGTTCGTTATGGTGTCGAGGCTTGCACCAAGGAAGGAATTTTTTCTGCGTTTATTGCTAAAAAAGTTATTGTAAAAAATTGCCGTTTATTAACCATCCTAGAGATCATTTATAATTTTGTATTGTTGTCTGTCGTCTGTCTGTTGGTCTGTCCGTCTGTCTTCCTTTGTCCTGTGAACGATAATTTTGTTTAGAAATGTCCGATCGCTTTTACATCTCCGTTAGTTATGAACTGAATTGCATGAAATTCAATATGGGCATAGCCTTAGCCATATAATACGCAATGCCAAAAGTTGAGCCGAATCTATTCAAAATTCACAGTGCCCTTTTCGCATCTCGACCATTTAGAAACCGAATTGCAAACTTTTTTTCTTAT